CTCCGCTACCAGCTGGCTGAAACGAGATTTCGGTATAATGGAATCATGCTTAGCTCGATATTTAATGGCTTGATACTATATTTATAGAGTGGAAATTCACGAAAATATTTACAAATTACATAATTTAAATCATATTCCCTTCTTGTGTGTCCCCACCCGTTTACAGAAACGTGGAGTTTATCTCTTTAGAATGTCTTCGGGTCATTTTTTTACTTCTTAGAAGAAGGGTTTGTCCAGGTGCGGTTAACCGCCCCATTCATCCTTTCAGAATTTGAAATATCTTCTTCTTCAGAGGTCGTGACCCCGCGCTTTTAACATATATTCTGATTGAAAGACAGTTTGATTGATTCTACGCTGGCTATTATCAAGCGGACAAGAAAATTATAATCCTCCTTACCGCTTGTCACTGCTTCTTCTTAACGTTTACAATGAGACAGTTACATTTATAGAAAAGAAAGTGGTACTTTAGAGATTGACACGCGTCGTCTTCTTAAATGTAAGTACTCTACCCAGATATTATAAAGGAAACCCTTTTTACAAAATACACTACTACAATACATTAAAGGAATATAAAAAAAAAAAAACTTCCTTGTTACGGTAAGTAGTAGCAAATAAAACAATTATAAAGTCATGATTCACGTTTTGTGTCTTTGTTACTGAAATCCGGATATATTTCTCGTTATTTTTTTCAATTTCTGCTAATAAGAAATTGTTTAATCCTTTCTCTCAAACTCGACTCAAGGTTAGCACGTATCACGCGCTCCACCAGGGTCAAGGTTATGTTTGTACGTGTTAATGCCTGGAAAAAGAATTTCTACGTGTTAGATAGCATCTGAGTTACCCACTGAACTGTAACGTTATACATTTAATAAGTTAATAGTACAATATTTAAGCATGTTCAACTGAATGCCCTCAAAGGCCGTAGGGTATGAAGTAATTTGGATATATGGGACGACGGAATTATGTAACTTTTTGGGCTTTTTTTCCCAATACTTGTGTGTATAAAACATTTGCAATATCGTCACGTAACCAAGAGGTAAAGATGTTGACAATTTCGAGACTAAGATGGAGATATCACAGCGCCGCATAAAGCACTTTTAAAAGTTTTATTACATTTTCTACTTTATGCTCTTCGGTGTTAAAATGAGACAATCAACTGCTTTACAAGACAAACTTGTAAAGCAGTTTCTCATCGCCACGCGAAAGGTCACCTCCGAAGAATGCTGGCAAATTCAATTTATGTAAATGTTTCCCGTTGGAATATACGGGAGATTTAAAAGAAGAAAGGCTAAAGTTGTCGCCAGCATTTTATTTAAATGCGCAAAAAAAAAAAACAGATTTATAAATTTTATGCGAGATACAAGCTGTAAATTTAATTGATGTCATACGCGAACTCGCACATCGACAAACGTTTAGGTATATTTAGATTAATTCTGATTGATTGTCCGCGAGTGCTTAAGAAGTATTAAGTACATAATTTAAACCGGATGAAGTTGAATTTCGAAAGTTTCGAATGCTAAAATATTTAACTTGCCGTAACAAAGATTTATGTTACAAGACGAAGTTTAATTTATCATATCCTTGAATGTTTGTTTGAAAAGCAATTACGGCTTTCTCCATTTGCAATAAATAAACACATTTTTCCACATTGTGATTCTACCTTTTGTCCATTTACTGCTTTGTGTTCTATTCATAAAAGAGTCGTGTTTTAAAATTTAAGAAAGAAAAGTTACGAACGGAAGACTTTTACGATGATTTTCGACAGAAGATTTCTTTCCACACCAATACTTTCTTCCCTATAAATCTGTATCTTAATAACTAGTCAAATAGGTCAGTCATTATGAATTTAAAATTCTTTACATGCATTGAAGTTATAATAAAACATACCGTAGAATGAAAATGGTATTGAAATAGGTCTTGAAAAACTGTATGTAATCCCTAACACAACGGTACAAAGAAAAGCATCGGTTACAGCATACATTCTTCTATCGTTTTCATCTTGCAAGGTCTAATTATCCCGAATTTTTCTTTAATAATTAATAAATTAAGAAGTCTTCGCTTCAATTAGTATACAATTGTACCAGAATATACCGTGAGAAATTAGCAGTTCGAATACCAGAAAGTTAAGCATCGATTGTCTTAAGGGAATAAACTGACGAACTGGAACAATACACGAAGCACCATGTGCATTGTGCATGAGTGAATATTCAGTCTCAATAATTGTTCAAACGTAAATCGTACAGGAATAGCGTTACAGTTTATAGATCGTTAAAATGTTCAACAAGGCCCACCCAAAGAAGGCCTCTCTAAGTTATAGGATAGAAAGAGGGCCTACGTTTCTTAAGAGGAATACTTCATATTAATAAGAGAGATAATATTTTTATTTTACAAGGGAAAAGAAAATCGTTAAAATGTTCACCGCTTGAGCATAGTTTTACATTTTATTTTCTATTGAGGAAAATAATCAAAACACACGAACAGTCCCATCGAACAAGAATTTATGTAATGTATTGATTTTTTTTCTTTTCTACTTGGTATTGCACGAAAGTCTTGACTGTAGTTCGTGTTTTATGGTCGTGGAAAAATATAAAAAAAACCCAAAAAGTTGTAGATCGTAAAAAATATTGAATAATGTTCACGAATAGAGGAAGGATCCTGAATATATAACTACATCTCATTGAGGAGTAAGAGGATGTACAGTACATTAATGACTTTAATATACCTTCTTCCTTTAAGAATGGAGGAAAATATCGAGTATTTTTTTTTTGCGATATTTTTATATTAGTTGGATTTTACAGAGAGATTTTCTAAAACGGAACTCATTTTGTGCAATGATTTATTGATTTTTTTCTACAGTCGTATGCTACACGAAAATTTCAAACATTATCTTCTCTCTCTCCTTTTTTTTATAAGGGGAAAATACATGTTGAAAGCTTTACGAGCAGTTAATTCGACTGGAACCGAAGTTATTACTATGCTAAATTTTAAAAATTCTGTAGAATCGTTATAAAAATTAAATTATTATTTTATGCAGAATCGAAATTCTGAAAGAGATAAAGTACCATTTGAATTGTTCCACCCAATTTCATTTTTCTTTTTGTACAAAGGGCTAAGTATCCTCGGGGCACGGCAATTTTAAACAAATAGGTAAACTCGCTGTAACACAACGATAACAAATCGTCCCGAAACACGAAATGTGACGTAAAAAAATGCTATAATAACCCTCCTATCTTTTGTAAAAGGATAACACGGTATCTTGAACGCAATTAAAGAGAAGAGAAACACCATGCTCCAACTTATCTATATAGGCCAGTGGGGATATTACAGATCATCGCAATGCACAATAGAAAGTAACTATAGATAAAAGTGAAGCACGGGTTAAGCAAATTTTAAAAAAATGCCACGTCAGAAGTGATGAATAACCTGGATCCTCCCTTAGGGTGAACGAATTGAGTTGTGAATACACCAAGCGATCGAATGGTAGATACATCAGCGAAATGTGCAAAACAGGACCTTATGTTCTATCGAGTTTAATCTCCATAAAGTTATCTTGTCTTGTTATCGGTTTTTTTAGTTAGTTTCTTTGTTAAGAAATGAGAAGCACACGAATTTCCCTCCACCCCTATCGTTATGTTGTTATTAGATCTTTACTTAAAAGCTTTTTTGGCTATCAGCTCCAGTCGGATTCTAATGAAGTGAGAGTGTTTTTTCTTTTCTTTCTTTCTTTCTCTTTGCGAAACAATGTACCGTTAAACCGCTAGACTACGATTATGTGGGAAAGCTCGTGTGTAAAGGGGGTAATAATGGTATTTGCTTAAAGTATAAATGCGTTTCCTCGCCTGTAATGGTGGAAATATTTTCAACACTCGACTGTATCGAAACCGAAAAGGTGATGGAACTTTTGTACATCGCCCCTTTTAAACTCAATCAATCAATGAAGAGGTAGGTGGTACTCTACGTGGGATGAGAATGTCATTTTGGGATTAAAATATTCAAGTCAGATGTCTCATAGAGGCAAACGATCTTTAACCCATCCTTATCTAAAGAACTTCTGAAAGACGTTTGGCCATTGGCCAGTTTCGATAGAATTCAAATATTCACCCCTCCCCGAGAAATAATTTTGGTCCAGGTAGGCGGATTTCAAGGTTAACGAGTTTCGGGAGCTTCCAACTTGAAATTGAAGCAAAAGGGTTGAAAAACACGTGTCACGTTACCATTTCGTGACGATTGAGATACAGATTTTTTTAAAGTTTATTGCACGATATGCATTTATGCGCACACCCGAATTAATTTCATTTTATTAAATAAACCCCCCTTTAAACAATCTATTCTTCGAAATGAATAAACGCACCTGTGTCGTGCGTTAATATAAACGTTAGTAATTCGTGTTCCGCGTACACCTGACACTGCGCGTCACGAAAGCGAAGAAAGTATTATTCAGAATTTTCGAGAAGTACCACCTGATTAGAAATCTGTCCCAGATATATCCGGTCATCGTGATAAATAAGGACAGCGGTGAGATGTCACCTGCTGGGATGACTGATGACTTATGTAAGGTTGAACGAGGTAAACCGCATTGTTTGCCATGACATATGATGAATATTCATTGTTTTCCCTTTTAAAGTGGGTCGGAATTCGATAATTAAGGAAAGTAAAGTCGAAATTAATATGCTGGAACCGCTCGAAAGTAAAATTTTCGCTGTTTACGAAGCAAATAACAGCCTCGTAATATTCACACATCACTTGACCATGTGGAATTTTCTTTTTTATTATTATTTTCTCTATTTTTTGCTTGAAATTTATGAATTAACACGCTCTATTTGCAATAACAATTTTGTAAAATATTTTAAAAAGTTTAAGAAGTAAAAAAAAAGAAAACGAAATATTCTCGCAGTTGTTATTAATTAGTGCAATCATGAGTGAAAATTGCATCGTCTATTACTCTTACTATATATAAATTATAATTAAAAAAACAGTTATTTTTAACATGAAAATTTTATTCATTGTATTAGATAAATGTATACAACAAAAATATGTACATCGTGAATAAAAATAAACGTCGACATCTTCAGCTCTTCGGTTATTAACTTACAATGGGGGCTCTAAGGGGTTTGAGTTGGGGGCTTTGGTATAGTATAAATAGAATAGATCCATCACCAGAAGATGAAAATGTGAAAAAATGGGGGTAATCGAAGGCTGATTTTTATTGTCGTAGCCGGGTTCCAAGTCTCAAAATTCGTTTAGAGTTCCGTTTAGAGGTCATTCCCATTCACCCACGAATACTTCCCTTCTATGGTACATCTGCTGTTGCGGTGATGTTCTGAATCGTCCATAAATGCGACCATATTCGTCTTCTACAGGAAAATCGTGTTCTGCTAAAGAAAAAAAAAAACAAAAACATTCGATTAATCTTCATAACATTAAGTCCTTGGGCATCATAACGAATTATCAACCCACCATGAACATTATCATAAGGGTAGCGATCCTGATTCCTCAACATATTAAAGTAACTAGATGATCTTTTCATTGGCTCTTTATCCTTCTTGCCAAAATTGGGTACCCGGGCCTTCATCCCGCAGTAGTAAGGGTCGTCTAGGAAGAGAATTTTTTATTTTATCAATTAATTCGACCATACAAAGCAAAGAATTGGGCAGGTGAATCTTAATATTATGTCAAGGTAATCGAGTTATGATAGGCAGCTGCTTCTGTTTACTTACCATAACCACGAACCTTTTTTCTGGACGACTGAACGGATGGAAATTTCGAATTTTCGTTTTTGTCATCTTCATAGTCAGGCTGTCAAGAATAAAATTTATTGAATTGAATATAATATATACGTGTTGCAATATTAATTTATAATGTAATTTTGCTTGCTTCATCATTTCACCCACTAAAAAAACTAGTTTTTTGTTTTTTTAATTTATAAAAAATTCTACTATTAGAATTTTTAAATAAATATTCAAAAGAGAACATGTATCAGAGATTAAGTCATCTTTATTTTAATAAATTATTTAAAATTTCAGCAATTTTTGAAGAATTTTCCCTACCTGTCCGTTAGATTTTTGAATGTAACCCGATATAAAATGATACTGCTGCTAAACAAAACTGTTACTTGCAATTTAAAATAATACCCTTAGATGTTTCTTTAGATTACGTGGCTATTTATTTTCAATGTTTAAAGAACGAAAGAAATTTACTATTGAGATAGCAAACGACATTAAGTTAGATTAAAAAGAAACGAGGTTAGTACTAGAATTAAGCTTTTCTAATCAGAAATAAGCATACAATCAAGGAAACAAAAAATGCACAAGCCAAATGATTTCAGTTGAATTCTGTAAATGCAAAAGAACCCGCCAGAGATGCGTATCTGTAGCTATTTAGTTCCAGCACCATTGCAACGAATGGAAACACCCAACTAAAGTTCCACAATCGACACACCTACAAACATCGCCAGAGTAAGAAAGCAAACACTTGTCCATAGCTATCAAAGAAGTAGGCCAACCCCTCCCAAAGAAACTTTTCGGTATTTTGTAACAACATCGACAACCTATTGTGTTATTCAAGTTCAAAAGGTATCCGATACCCTAATTGCACCTCTAACCTATTTATTAATTGTTAGAATTCCATTATAGCTATGTTTACAGTTGTAAATTAATTGCCGAGAAAGTTGTTTACCATGGGAACTGGAATGCGTTCGGAATCTCTAGGTGGTAATTTCGGTGGTTTAGAATCTCTGAACCCATTATATATTCTAGACGAAGAGGAATTAGTCGAAGTTGGCAAACTGTATGGGTCTTCTTCGGGATCTGGCATACGCGGTCTTTCGAATATACTAATTAAATTAGGTGCACTTTGTCTCTTCGCAACTGTTTAAAAAAAGGAAAACCAATTAGATTTCGTATGTAAATCACGTGTTTATTTTTAAATTACGCGTTCACTTACTGGGCGGTAATTTCGATTTGAGCATTTCCAGCGCTACTATATTAATAATCATTATCCAGCAGCAACAATCTAGTGTTTCTGCCGCATCTTTAACGAAGCTTATAGCACTTATACATTGACTTTCTAGCTTTCTTCTATCGGGATATGCTCTTCTTAATTCTCTTCCTACGTTATGTTGAAATTTTTTCATATCGAATAACTGTAAAAGAAGAAGAAAAAAAGAAAGATATTTGAAAAATTTTAATGCGTTTAAATCATTTAAAATTTAGGGCATAAGTTAAAAACTCTCTCATCAGATGTTCCACTTGAAAACGTTTTCTGTGCGTGACCTAATGGTGCGAGGTGCAAAATTATTTCACACAACAACGACAATATCGGTCAGCAGTTTATATAAGAAAAACGCGCATTTAAGTTTTCCTCTTATTAAAAAAAAGGATAATAAGTCCCAACTTACTTTAACAGGTTTTTCTAATTCTAGTTGGCCGTTCATTTTAATGATTTCTGACGCGATGCTGTTATCTTCAGAACTGGAAACTTCTTTAACGAATACGTTGGTTTTGCTTATTCTCTTAACCAAAATGTTGCCAGCATCATCCATTTTAATTTTAACACCCTGTTGAAAAACGTAGAGCAATCAGTATTATTATATATAGGTTCTTCCGGCAGACGTAATGGTTAAGAAGAGATAGCCATCATCACGTCTTTCGACTACTGTAGTTCACCCGACAGCAATTATTAACTACTTTCTCTATTGTTAAGGGTGAACAAGTAGGGAAAACACTTACGTGGCCTATATGTTTCTTTACTTCTTCAGTTTTAGAGTCTCTGAGTGGATTAGCAAAACCGTTCAGACCGATCCTGAAATTGTTATTAAATGATTAGATTTGTGATCACGTGATGGAAATCTGATTTTTGAGGTTTGACAGGTTATCTTTATGATTTATTTTACACACTTTATCTGAAATAACTCTGAATATTTTTTGGGTTTGTGTGTATCTGGCCTCACGGTATCTGAAACGTGAAGTTGATACTGAAAGAAATCTGTTCGTGATATCCGGATACCACGAGACTTGCATCTAATTAAATTCAATTTTAACAAAATTCTGTAGCTTCCTAAAACATATAACAAAAACTGAATACATGAAAAAATGTATTAATTTTAAGATGAAACCACTCGAATTTCATGTTCAACATTAAAATATCTGATGGAAACGTACCTCAAAAATCAGATTAAAAAAAATTCGAATTCTTAAACACGTTTACAAACCTGAAACCATCGAAACCATCATCTGAACCATTTACGGTAAGTACAGGAGCCCTCGCATACGCTTTAGCAATTCTTCTATTTCTTTCCATACAAATAATTTTGGCCCATATTTCGTCATCGATTTGGTCCCATTTGTTTAATACTTCCTGTATATGATCCTGTAAATTGAGCATAAATTAATTAATTCGTGTATTGTCTACATAACGAAATGCGAACAAATAGGTCTTTAAGCTTAAAAAATGGCTACGTTGTTACTTATTGTTTTCTTGTAAAATACCTCGTAAGTCGTGCATTGTAAATAATAGTTCAGAAATATATTCTCAAGGGAGAAAGAGTGAGTGAGACTAATGATAAAAAGAGAAAGGGGTCTCCTCCCAACGACCTCTTACCCCCTTAAAACATGAATCTTTGTTCTCCGGGTGCATGATCTCATCTAGAAGGTTGGGTAACTTTAGAAGTGGAGCATACTTAAATAGTTTAGTGTTTCCACTCACTTGATGGCTAATCAATTGAGGGACATTTTACTAGGACAATTAAGGCACGGGTTATTGTCAGAATCAACATAAACAATAGCGCCTATTGGATTATTGAAGGGAGGTTACAGCTTTTAACAATGGGTTGACACAAATTTTTTTAAAACCTCTTAAAAGTAAATAATTCGCTTTTTACGCGCTCTTAGCGTTAATAAATCTGCAAAATGAAGTTGTAAAAAATTCCCCGCATTCTCTTTTATCTGATACTTTCGTTTCTTAACTAGTTATGTATAAATCCATTTAGAGATCCTGTCTTAAGAGTACGGGTTATATATAACCTTTTGGAGGACTTAAACTTGACGTGTCGAACTAGGGATAGTGGTGCAACGCCCGACTCCCCGGACGCTCATCTCAAGGCCAGACTGTCCTTCTGCAAGGAGGTCTGAGTAGACAGTTTTGCCAAACATTTCACGTATACGTCCATCTGACTCTCGATCTAACTTGTCAACCAGTTGTGTGACGACGAGCCACCCGCAACTTTCGATAATTTTTCGTTTGTCACCTATAATTCTCTCGACATTGCCTTTTTTTTCCACCGAAGTATTTAGGATAAGGACGAGCGTGACAACCGCACCCGTACGGGATTTCCTAGCTGAAAAATCCGTTGTGGGGTGTTCTTCACTGCACTACCCATTAACAGTTATTCGAAAAATTCGTTAGTGCCGCCATCTCTTGTTATAGTTTCGAATTAATTTACATTCTTCCGCGTGTTACAAAAATGTAATACGCCCTTTTCCCCCCATAATGAATTCATAAGAAATTAACATCTCGGAGGGTCGTTCGACTCGCTTTCCTATGCGACATACCCACCTTCCATTGAGAAAAATAAATAAATATAAAATGAATAAATGAGCGTGTTATTATATTCTATAAAGTTTAAACAATTGGTTGCTTCTAAAACGTTTTTGTTTTGTTTTTTCTTCCATACCGACAATGCCAGACACAGGTAGAGTGCCATTTAGGTCGATCTATATGGAACTGTGACATACTTGGCTCTATCTTTTCCCTTCGTTGCGTATTTGGTGAAAACACGTAAATTTCACTTCCATACAAATAAGATTTTTATGGCATTTTATCTAAAAAATTTCGTGTATTCACCTACTCAAACAATCGCAAGAGTTAAAAAAAAATCTTTCACGAAATCAGATAGAATCCTTATTGTAGATTCTTATTGTTGTCTACAATCGTGGATTAGAAAAGTGTTAATGTGGAGTTATACAATAAACTAACTTTGTGGATGCACCCGGGCATGACACCCAAAGAAATGCCCTCCTGTGGGGTATCAATAATGCTATCTGTTTTTCTATTCGAATGTTGGGAGATACCTATCTTAATTGTTTTCACTTTTAATTGTACATCTTCCGGATTGACCTTCAGGGTCTAGGGCTGTGAGCTTTCCCTTGACCTCATTCTTTGGATAGTCTCAAGTTTTTTTCGATGACAATCGTAACAAGTTTCGTTGGACCGCATTCCTCGTGGTCAGGGATGATGTCGCCCATATTAAAATCTTTTAATTGGACGTGTATCTATAGGGGTGTTTACATTGGTGTCCTTTTGTTGGAATTCATTTACATCACGACTAATTTCAATTTGAAACCGTCTTTGTTAAGCCTCAAGGTTTTAAGGAAGATTCTCTTCATGGGTGGAGGGAAATAAACAATCTTAGTATCAGGTGAATTTCTCTGAATATGGATTTCTTGTCGAGGTTAGAAACTCATTGGTAAAAAATGCGTCTGGAAAGGTGAATGTACTCCACTTTTGGCAATGGCAAAATTGCTAGTGAAAGTGAACAATATATATGCTGAATGTCAACCTCCAGATGCGCCTACAAGTATATATGTTTCTAACCAATTTCCTAGTAAGGATTGGTGACAGTGGGTGTTAGACCAACGACCGATCATAGGCGACATCCTACTCGTAAAACACATTAAACCCGGTATAATGAACCGATAACGTATCTTCCTCTTTACAATTTCCACTTCACTTTCACAATTGAAAGTGCGAGCAATTATTCAAGGATGTCCTTTTAATTCCAGAAATCATTAAATGCCAGAATCTCGGAGATTGTTGGAAGACCTTGAGATCACAAACCATATAACGGTATTTACCGACTACTATAGTTTTAACACAGCTTATAAAGGGTGGAGTTTGCCTAGACCTTCTACAAGATAATGGGTAAAGGGACGCGAAAAAGCGGAAATTAGTGACAATGCATCGACATTCGTGGATGACGTAAGAATATGATGGAGATAAGGGTCGAAATATCAACAATCGAGCTCATCATGCAACGGATGTCAGCAAGGTCTTTCAGTCTAGAGAGTTTCCTTTGAAACTATTGCGATTAAGATTACAAAACTGTTATTTATATAATAAAGAGACTGTTAACATCTCTGATAATTGTTCTCGGTAAGCTTGGTTCTTTCTATGGGATCCACTTCTGCCTCAAAGTGCAAAAACGGACTTTCATTGAACACCGAAACTAGTTACACAGCTTCTCCTTGGAAATATAATTGTATAAATCATAAAAAAAACCGGAAGAAACCAGCTTAGACCTCTTAATCTTTTTATCTAACCTCTGACCAGATCGAGTCAGCTTGTCAAGTCGGTTGGAATATGTTTTGGAATGTTGTTTTCATCAAGGCTGAGTAGCGGTACTTTCTTTAAATCTGCAAAACACAGGGTTGCAAGTACTTTCGACGATGACTCAAAGATGATGAGAAAACATTTAATGTTGTGTTTATGAAATATTATAGGAAAGCATCCGATAAAATTTATTACTTTCCTTAATCAATTCCACTTTATGTTTAAACTTTTTTCTTTCACTTTCCTTTCTTTTCTAGGTCTTAAAATTCTCAAGAAACCAGTCAGCAATAAACAAGAGATGAGGGGTATCAGGAAATGGTTTAGTGAGCATTAATGAGTGAAAATTATTTAGAAACCGTTTAACAAATGGAAAAAGGGAAATGATAATGGAATGAGATGTAGTGATTCTCCTTGATAGTTGTACAGCACATTAACAATGTAAAATGAGGAATAAATAGCTTAAAACTTATAAAAAAGGAGGAGGAAATGGTGCAAACTTCAATGGCCTAGTTAAGAATATTGGATCTGTAAATGCTGGGAGGTGGCACTGAAGGAACTTGGCTATTCAAAAAAATCTAAAAAGGAAACGTCACTGTTTCTAACTGTCACAACAATATACCAGTCAAACAAGAAAAACTGTATCGAGAAAACTGGAAATGCTACATTAGACAATTTAGAAGCTTGGAACGGACTTTTACTACCTTGAGAAATAATAATTCCGGATTTATAAATGAATAAACCTGTTTTTATTCTAGAATAAAAATTAATATAACTATTTTTTTAAAATATAAATAAAACCATACTTTGCTAAATTTTATATTTATGGTCGAACAGGTTTTAGTAAGAAGTATATCGATTTCGCTGTATAACGGAACTTTTAACACATTAAGATATAAGGAACTGATATCAATCAATCGTAGGAAAAAAAAGAAACAAGTCATTTCGCGAAAGAAGTGATAATGACAGTTATAATAACTAGTTGTGAATGTGGTTCGTTGACTCTTGGGTTTCTTCAGACTTAGGACAATGACACATGGAGAGCATCTCCTAAGGAAAATATAGCAGGAGAGTTTTCAACATAGTCGAAACCTCTGCGTGTAGTTTTCAGATATGTGGGTCAGAGGATTTATTACGTGACCCCTGACACGCTCGCAGTGGTTAGACCATATCACGACTTGGAAAATGAGTGGGCGACGATGCCTCTCACCTTGACCATATCATTGTCGTGCTCTCGTCTCTCCCTCCCGATATCGTTTGTAAACCCGGAAATTGGATAAGAATCAACCTTCCAAAAAAATTAGAATTTCTCCACATTTTAAGTATAGAAGATTAGCATCGGTTGGAGTGAAGACGGAGGGGATGAGGCGCATGGCAGGTGGGCGAGAGTGACTCGGTGACGTCAGTATCACCTGTGGCAAAGAGACAAGTGACGCCAACCGAAAGTTTTCGGGATACCAATAAGCAGGGCCTATATATCGAGGCCAGGCAATGTGCCAAAACTTGTCGCCTCCATCTAGGTCATAGGACCGGTTGTTTTGGCCTCGTTTTCGATGGTGAGCACCGGGGGGAAGAATTATTGTTGGAATATTTTTATGGTTCTTGACGTTTTTTGATTTTTCAGCGGAAATTCTTGAATAAACAATGAGAAATCTTACATAATGTTCACTTTTTCTTTATTATGAGACCATTGTGAATGCTTGACGCGATGACTTCTTCTCCTTTTGTTTTCGTATCCCCCCTTTACAACCGGTGCTCTGATATGGAAAGATATCGCAGGTAATTTAATTATTAAATGGGGATAATCTGTTAGCTAACTCATCTCGAAACAGGTTGATGTAGCGCTTTGATCTGGAGACATCTGCAGGGTAACGGGCACCAGGTGGTCGCACTTAACGGTTTTTCCGGACGAAAATAGAAGGAACAAAGTCAACAAAGGTAGAGGATATTGTCGAAAGATGTCAAAGGGCAACAATGAAAGAGAATTTGAAAAATTGGGTTGTCTGAATGTCTCGAGCCACGCTTGACCAGAGACATTAATCACTGATACTGTCCTAAAAGGTATTCGGTCCGAGTAGTTTTTCAATGAATCAATGACAAATGGACGAAAATGAAAACCATTTCAATCTTTAAAGAGCTTTGTTATGTAAAAGATAAAATTTAATTAGGTTAAAGTAGATCATTAGTTGAATGGCGACTTCACATTCAGGAAATGGAATTCAATTATTCACAACTTAGACATTAAAATTTATCCTAAATAAACATAATTAACGTGTAATGAGGAACTTTTAAGTAAATTATATAAAATATTTATATCATTATGCCGTAATTTTATGTAATAGTTCGGTCGAATATGATTTCGAATAAGGAAGAAAAGCGAGTCACGTGGCACTCATTCTCCATTTAGTGGAATCGAATGAGGAAGATAAATTTTTAACATTGCTATAAATTTTACGATCGCATTTAATTCTTTCAAATGGGTAAAAAAAATAGTTAAAAAGTGAACAAATTTTGCAACTTTTACCATAAAAATTATTTTCAATCTTCAAAAACAAAAATTTTTACGATCGTTTAACGTTTATATTCCATCGCAAATTTTAATAATAAACGATGGAAAGTCAAAAGCTACCCCTTAACCATTCTTTTATTGAACATCCAGGAAACGAAAAGAGTCGAGATTGAAGCGTTTTGAATTAAAAATAAGGAAAATAAGCAGAATAAGACGCACGTACAGTAGGAAGTATTCAGCTTTTGACACCAATCTGACAGAAAATAAGGATAAAAAATATATATATTTAAAAAAATTCAACTGCCTCCCTAGTAGTTCAACCGCATTCTTTTTTAATACGTGCAACTACTTTGCCAATCTGATTTCTACACATTTTCGTGTAAAGCGAAAGTGGGTGACCCGTAGATATCCACACCCCGATACAGAAAATTGAGAGCCATTAGAGAAAGTCAAGATGTCCCCGGGCCAAAATTCTGGTTTAAATGTCTTTTCTTTCTCTTTATCTGAAGAATTGGACCCGTTAAGAAGGGCCATTTTAAACGCCATGTTTTTTTTCTTCTCGAGATATTTCCAGTTGTAGACATCCAAAAACTCCTACTCTACTTCGCTGCATTATTTATTTTTATTAGAAGAAATAATTTTAGATCATGCGTAACGGGTCTCAATGATAGGATCAGGTGTCGGATCGGCAGGTGCAAGAAAAATAAATCAAGAAAAAAACAATTATTGTAAAAAGCCGTAACAGCTTTCGCACTTCCTACTTAAATATAGAATCGAACGAGGTTATTTCCTAGGTGACACAAAGGTGTTTTTGCAATTATCTAGTAGATCCAAACAAGAAAACTCCACTTAAAATAATACTTCCTGACCAAATTTAGTCCAATGCGACAATTACAATAGAATCCGAGAAGTTCTGCAGTTTTTTATCAGATATATTACTCACAGTGAACTCTTTGTTAAGAATAATGTACAGTAAATTAAACATAAAAATGATGGTATACAGTATCTTGAAATGAATGGTTCTATAAATATGTAAAAATGTCGTATATCCTCCTGTAAAAAAATATATATATTCCGGGTTTGAAGAATTGTCTGCGGGGTATATCTTAATGTTCGAGCATTTATTCATTTTATTTTATTTTTTCTTGTAAGCAAATTATAATTTGTTCATTCAATCAGAACGATATTGATAAAAAGATGGATTATTCGTCAAAAACAGGTCATATATAGACGAATTTTAACTGAACCGATTAAAAACAAATGTGAGGTTAATCTTGGTGACTGACTGCCCTATTAATGATTCTAGTTCATTCTCTGCTCTTCATTTTTACCAAACTTGAAGCATTCACCCACACCTCTTAGACTTAGAAACGATGGCAACAACAGCGAATCCATACCCAAGTGAGAAAGCAAATTTCTATGCAGGAAGTTTTACAGGCAAGGACCTCATGCTGACCTCTAGCCATTTCTTCGGCGTGTCACTGACCCTTGACGCCATATTTGTCCCATTTTCTATCTCTGTCGGCCGAGACAAACAGCTATTATAGCTTTTAGATGCCCGAGGCTAGCGGTACCGTTCTTTATTGCGCATGTTCCAAACCAGTTTGTAGAGTCCGAGAGCGAGTATGAAATTATACATTAAAAAAATGTATATATATATAACTGTCTAATGTAATTGCAACTTCCGCAAATTAATCGCTCTTCATCTTCTATTGTTATCTATGATGTGTATCCATTATCCATTCATTGATCCTTCTGAAGCGATCGGCTCGGAGCCACCCTAAACATGATTACATTTAATAAATCTTTCACTCAAAACGTCATTTTAACGTTACTTAATCTGTACAGAGCTATAATTTTTGGTACTGTAAATAATTTATTACAATGCTGTTGACTGCAAAGATCTTACTCCCCGCTTTCTTGCGGTGTAGACGGTGAAGCGATCTTTCGATTGAAGTAAAGTGGAACGAGTTGCCGCCAGAGGCTTTAAATTTGACCTAGTAATAGCGGTCTAACTGGTACAACTCGTATTTCTGTTGTATTTAATGCTGATAATAGTTGGGAATGAAAATTATTGTAGGTTTCCCTCATTTGGTTGACAGCAAATTTAAGGCGAGTCCATGGTTTAAAATGCTAAGTGGGAGGTTCCAAACTGGATTATTTCAATTTGTTTCTAACTAGCACGCAAAAATACGTTGTAAAATAACACACCAGACATTAAAGCTAAGCAACAGTAAAGCAACAAGTTAATTAATTAATTAATTATAATTACAGAAACTCTATTATTGGAAAGTAATAAAATCGAGTTTAAACAAATTTTGTGGAAAATCCGATGAATGAAAACAGCTGTTGTCTGTTTTTGCCACTTAAATTGGCTGGGCGTGGGCAAGGTTTCACCCTCTGCTTCCATCCATCCACCTATATGACGTCAGCCTTGACTTTGGACATTTACGGATATTTTGTGTGGGGGGAAAAAGACGAGGAAGTTTGCTTGTAGGAAGAACGAATAGAAAATGAAGCAAAAAAACCCCACTACACTATTGTAATTATTAAACATATCGAATTAACTACTTATCAAAAGTAAGCGGACAATAGAGTTTAAAAACTCTCTACTTAAAAAATTGACGACCGAAACAATATTGAATGATCGTTCATCGAAAAACGAGTGTCATCGACTTTGTAACGAGGTCAAGATATCATTCAGATGTATATTACACTTACCCTGTACAATTTGTCTTTTTGCATCCATACGTCCTCATCATCTTCTATACCAAAATCGACGTTGAGTTCATCTCGAGATCTTGTCACTATTCTACGCCTACTGATCATCTCAGTGTTTGGATCTGGACCACAACTGAAGAAGAAAACATAATACGGTTACCGTTACGCGTTAAGATTAATGAAACGGCCGACGCGATGGACACATACAAATCGCTTATGGAGGCTCGTTCCCGTATTAACGACATAAAACAGATTAACGCCAAAACCACAAAACTTTTTACACAAAAATTAACCGCCGAACACACGGTTTAACCTCAGGCACGCGACGACTAAACACCGTCAAGTGACGCGTTACTACATTCAGAACACCGAAGAAGCGCTATTCAAACACAAGGCCGTCACGAAAATTATTCTTAAGAAAAATAAAAAATAAAATAAAAAAAATGGAGATAAAATTTTATAAAAGTGCACAATACAAATATTTTTACGTACCTAATGTTTAGTTATCCAGTCATTAATTGCAGTCCGCGCAATTGGGTATCCTCAACACTACACCTGAACGTTTCCAGTTCTGAACTGAACTGTTCGCTACAGGTAAAAGAGCGCACGTCACTGTGACGTCTCTCAAAGTAGGTTAGCTACGACCTATTAAATGAACACCGCGATTTTTGACGTTACGCGGATACCCGGATGGTGACGTCAGAGGAGAGAAAGTAACGCGGATATTTTTTTTCAAATAACAATAAACTTGCCTTACCCACGCACCTCACACCTCGACACGCCAAAAAAATTTCCTATTATATTTCGCAACCGTTTATCAATCTTAAGAACGCACTTCAACACACAAACAACTGAAACACTTGAGATATATTCATAAAAATCGCGCCATCTATTAGCAAATTAAAATAATGTTTATTAAGAAACCTGTATCATATCTTCGCTATAAAAGTATATTGCGTTTCGGTAGGATGAAAGTAGATTATCTGTGTTATAGAGTTACGATACTTTTTATTCGACGTTTAGCAATAAAGGAAGTGGACTTACTTTATGTAACGGGACCATAAACAGGCAAGTACGCTCAGGAGACCAAACGGACCACTGGGCAGTGTGTGTAAACGTTAAGTGAGGGATATCGCTACCCTTTCTCTTTGCCGTGTCCTAGTTGCGGGAAAGACTTGACATCCTTGACTCACTTCCTGACCATCATTGGACGATCGGTTTTGTTAAGTATCATCTCCACCCCTTTCCTCTCTTTTATTGAATTATGTAACAGGCACCCTTTATCTACCACCATTACCACCGATCGATCTCTCGTAACAATTGTATAACGGTTTCCACTTCTCAATTTCGGTGAAAGAGCAACGTCTATCTATTGAGTTTTATAGCCAATTCTTTGGAAAACAATAGAAGCGAATGCTCTCACACACCGACTTTGAGAAATCCCCCTCCCCCTACTAAAATTGAAGAGATGTCAATAAAAAATTAAGTAGGCTTGTAATTTTATGGCGTACAGTACATCACTTCAATTTTTACAAGATAAAGGGGATTCATAAACATTGCGGATTTTTTGGGGGAATCAGTTTTATTTTATTGCATTTTATTACGCCGCTACAGGAATTTGGTTGCGAAACTTCAACGAAAACGCGAATTTGAGTAAAAATCAACTAAACAAGAGGCGCATAAATACTTCAGAGCACTCAAAGAGTATTAACAATCGAATACATCAGAAGCACCCGATGAAAATGGCACTCATCAATCTTAGGAACACTCTAAAATAATATCATAAATTCAATTGCAACAGTTTTCGATTGAATATAAAATATGATCGATTGCGTCAGCCAACTTGCATCTGATTTCCTTTTTTTCCCCTTACATTTTTGCCATCTGCATTCCAGAATTCCTTCAATCTGTACAAGGTTGCGCGAGTTTCCGAATGATTATTCCACTTTTATAAAGGTGGATACAAGAAACCCAAACGACTAACACATTTAACAGAAAAATAAGTGAAATGGGCTAAAAGATCGCGGCCCAATTCCTTGATGATATTAAACCGAAAATATTTTTACTATCCCTAAAACGTGATAGCAAATTAGGACAAGTATCACACCCAATCTGGTAAATCCCGGTTGACGAAAAAAAATGCATCGTAAGCAAATCGGATTAAAGAAAACTTTAATAAATTTGGATAAATTGTCCTGGGGGATGGCAGCTGTCGATAAAAATGGAAAAGAGTTGGCAAGAGACGACAAAAATTGTTTTTCCCCCTTCTTAAACTCGTCGTCCTTGTCGACAATTTCCTCGTTTGAACCATATACAGTTATCATTAAGGATAACAGAATTATATCACATGATCGAACGTTAATTTATAATTGTCCAGCGTGTGAGGAGGAGAAGGTGAAGCCGTAGGAAGTAACTAGTCCACAGACTAACCTTGGCTCCGTATTTACTTCTCACGCCATTAAAATCATATTTTTTCTAATAGTCGACGATATGGGTCAGTGTTTACAATGGCAGAACGAAAAATATTCTCGAACTGGACTGCTTTTAATAACGAGCGGAATTCTGTTTTTCCTTATCCTTAATCTCAAAGTGAGGGGGACTTGAAACGCGTTCCCGAAACGTTACTTGTTTTTGGGGTAATTTCCCTCAACCGGAAACTGATTAAGAGCGGATCTAAATTTTATTATGGTAAAACGGAGTTGAAACTATGCGTATGTTACAGAATTGCTTTATTTCTGCGAACAATTCTTATGTGAAACGTCCATTTAGTATGTAAAAAAAAGGTGTCCTTGTCAGCCCCCGATTTGCTCGAACGATTCGGTTAAAACTGGATTTTGGACACTCTGACGTCACCGATTGACACTAATTATATATTACCGTATTACATCCGTTATTCCTATGCCAGTTCCCCTTTATAGAGCTATCACTTTTTTAAATCTCTCGTGGCGTGTAATCGAAAAATTAACATATAATTATCTTTTATAGCCGCAATCGAAGCTTTCCCCTATTGGTCGATTTCAAACGTACGCTCGACCAATTGCGGAATGCAGAGTTTAGATATTTTCCAACGAATTTTCGAAACGAGAGGCGCCATGTTGGAATTTGCTACCGAAACGCGCGGGCTGGCCGATTTTTCTCGGAATTATTTATCAATCGATAAAGGCATTCTTGGTTTTTTTTGTAAAAAAAGGCATAAACATTTCATAAAAAGAAATAAAAAAAATGCTGATTCACACCACGTTAGGCAAATTCCATTTACGGCGGCGAATGTCATCCAAACTGTGTCATGTTCGCTACACCCCGTCTGGACTTTTTAAATGGATTAACATCGGTCACGATGCTTTTTTGTTTAAATAAAGGCTAACATCCCATCATCTGTACTAATGACTCAATTTAGTGGGCTGGAAACAGGAGTTTACAATTCAAAAAAACCCCTTTTTTTAAACTCCTAGACTTATTGTCACGATGAGAAATTAATAAATATCGCCCTAGATTAAAGGGGATCTAGCTTTTTTGCAGATTACGATGACAATAAACATGTTATCTGATAAACAAGTATAATGGGAGGTGATATATCGAAACATATGCTAAATTAATTGATCTTCCGATGCGAATTATTAACTGAGAGACCTTGTGTTTGACCATAATTGTCGTGTGTAGATATCCTATAATTAAGTTTAGAAAGTTAGCTGTAATTTTTCCCCACAACTCTTCATAATTAATTTTTTTTTCTTCTTAGCAATTCAAAAAATGAACCTTGAACTTCAATTTTGAACTATTTTAATATGGAAATTTGCATATAAAGAGTTTTCTTTGTTTTAGAACTTGCGCGGTTCTAGAGCAAACTATTAATATTTTAATGTAATAGAATTATATAAATTATTAAAAATCTGACTCTTGCTTATTTTAAACGGTAAAAATTCTTAAATTTAATTAATTTCTAAATTTTATGGGTCATTTTGTAGTTTATTTGGATAAAAATTGCCTAAGATTAGATCCAAGTTTATGTCTAAGATGTAAATCAAACGTTAAATTTTCTAGAATTTTTTAGGAATTTTAGCAATTTATTTTCTTTTAAAAGTACTCTGCTGAAGAATATGTAATTATTTTAAGCAATAATTTACATATAAAAAATTACTATAAAATAAGTAGTAAGAACAAAATTAAAATACGATTTTTTTAAAAAATTCAAAGAATCTGTAGTAAGAAGAGCGAAAGTTCTTACCTGCACCACCTCCAGCTGTGTAGTTACCAGTTTAACAGAGAAACTTAAGTAGAAATTACCTCCACCTAAGTAAGGAAGTGCCCAACCTTTACTCCAGTTCAGATACCTCTTAAAGGTCATAGACCATATACTCAATGGTTATTTTAAGGAATTTTTTCGGATCCACCTAATGAAGAGATCAGTGTCCTTTGAAAGAGATCCTTTCTCTTAATTTTAACAAAAATAGGGTATTGCACCTCTTCCATACGCAAAAACAAAGAAAGGAGTATAGAATAAGCTGTACTTGGTGAAAAATCTAGAATTTCGTTCTATAATCGATAGGACCAGTAGTAAAGAGCGGTTACATTGATCAGTGTTTAGAAGAATTCAAAAGATCTGTAAGAGTTATTGATAATGCTCGGCATCTAGTTTTCGTAGAATTCATACATAGGCTACAACAAACTTTTGTTTCGTAGATTGAATTCTAGAAACTATTTCGTCAGACGAAAGATTTCGGCATTTAAAATGTACTTGCAGAATTATTATTATTTTATTTATTTATTTTTTCATACATTACTCTCATTGTTTTTTCGGTAGGAACGTTGATTAGGCGCAGTTCCTTTTCGTTATTTATGACGATGTTGCAATTTACGAATCACAATGGTCTTTTTTGGTTTCCCCCTATAAGAGGTTAAAAGTATATGACATTGCATGCCCTTAAAATTTATAATTTACATTTAACTTAGGATTTAAGGTGATTGGACAGATCAAGGCTAAATGAAAGCCGCAGCGACCTTTCGTGTTGCAATTTGAAGGGACCACCAACTACATATATGTGATTAGTTCAAATCTTACGCAAGATCAAACGGTCGTTCATTAATGTTTCGGCTTTTATTATAAAGAAAAATCGAATTGATGGTTACCTTTACCAGTATCTTTATAATTATATCATTGCTATGCTCGTTGCCTTGGGTTCCACATTACCATTTTAAGTATCCGAAGAAAGACACATCAGCAAAACTAGATTGATGCTCATTTCGCATGAATTTTGGCTTAATTGTTCCACATTTCTTCTAAGTTTAGTTGTATTTAATAAGTAGCAACCGAAATAGATAAGCTTCTATCGATAATTTCCATTAGACTAAACCATTTTCTCTATGTTTGAACTAGATTAATGCGCATTTTTATCTATTTTAAACAGAGAATATTTAATAAACAAATCTAAGCTTAATTAAAGTATAATATTATGATTAAAATAATGTAAATTTACTCAGATTTAAGAATTGTGATGATGCATATTTACTCTAGTGTAAGTACAATGTACAGTACGTGTACACAAATTTTTAGTTTTAAGTTAAAATAATCAGTACACAGACATTTTTTTAGAATTTTGGGTCAGGATACGCATTCATGTCGATTTTTCACTACAGTACACTACTAGTATGTTCGTAACTCTAGGGTCCTCTCGAGGCCTCAATTCAGTTAAGCCTCCCACTTTGTCGGTCTCTCCCCTCTATAACATATGTTAACCACTAATAACATAAAAGCGTGACTCGAATTTAGTGAGCGATAAAGAGGTACATAAAGGTGCCATATCTTAGACGCTTTTTATGACGTATTAGTTTGAACAGGTCATTTTTAATAAAGTACACAAACCGCTCCTTGTCTATTATCAACAAATTCGCTTTAACACTTCTTAAAGATAAGTAATTATTGTTTAGTTTAATGGGCATTCAATAAATCCGGACCTTTTTTATTTGTTACAGTATCCTTTTCATTTATTCCGCTAAATATTATTAAGAGGCAGGAAGGTGTGCTTAAACGCGTATTTAGTTTCAGGGACGCATCTTTTTAAGAAAACCTGTTCCATTCAAGGTTAGAGTATTGAATACTTGTTTGTATTTATAAAAGTGACAAAGTTTATAATCAGATTTGACCAATGTTTATTAATATTATTATTATTTTAAGTAGCAGCCCCCACGCAAAACCTGTCTCTTGTGAGGAAAAAATTCATGAAAATACATCCTGTAGGGCCTTACAACAAAAACAGTCGTACAATTAAAGATACGGCGCGATTAAGTTATCGTCTTTCATAATAAAATTCGTCTTAACTTTAATAAAACTCGGTTTATGGCCCGTTAT